CAGCTAAAACTGAGTTACATCGAGTGCCTTATAACTACTGCACACAGCGTGTCGCATAGCCAGTTCCTTTATATACAAAGTTATTCCGAATCCCCAATAAATGAAACGAACTTAATTTATTCCCTATACAATTTCTTGACATCTGGTAAGAAGATTTCAAATAATTCCTCCTCCCTGCAGTCCTTATTTCTCCACATAAACTCAGCTAAGTAAGAGGAAAAGTGATACTTTCTCACACCGAATGGAGGTAGTTTCACATTTGCTTGTCTCCAGTGACCTTCTATTTTATTGGCACTGGCATCGCGACCGGGTTTACCAATAGGGGAATCCTTGTTTACAATATTTGCCTCATGCATAAGCAATTCAGTTTCTGATGGAGCTACAAATAAATTAGTTCTGAATATTGAAAGGTCATAGTACGATTAACTCTGCCAATGAATATAAGCCTAATGTATTGAATACTTTTTTGTGCAACACAGGTTTAAAAACTCAAAATTTTACAAAGAATGTATGAGCTCATTAGCGCTTTTGCCACCCACAAATTTTGCAGTTTTTGAGAAACAATATCTTCTTGAATATTTCACTCAAAGAGCTAAAATTTTTGCCATGTATAAAGTTTCACGAGATCTTTAGCTACCTGGAGTAAATTCATATCTAGCGTGCGAGCAGGCTCATCTTTGAGCTCCGCGCGCGAGCGGCGAAGAGCAAAGCGATCCGGCGGGTAGAGTCTGGTGATCAAGAGGGGCCAAGAAAAAAAAGAAGAGCACTTTCTCGTTCTCGCGGCTTCGTGGCTCGATTTTGCGTTCGCCGCTACGCCGCGCTCGCTTCTGCCCCAACGTGAGCCTGCTCGCAGGCTAATTTATATCTAATATATCTAATATGTTTCCTTCTGTACGCAAAGCCGTATGCAAATGAGCAAAAATGTAAACAAAGACGTCAGCATGAATTTCCCTATAGCTAGCTTATAAACTGAACCTCCTACAGTTTTGATCGCCGATGTAAATCTGATCAACAGAAGATCTAGAGTTGCAGGTTATTCAGTTGGCAGAGAAATGATATGACATTCATTCCTTGTTTTATGCAAATGTTTCCGTTTGATGCGATCTCGATCAAGCGGGTCAAGATCATATCATGTGCGACTTTTGCTTTACACGACACTTTGTCCTTACGTTCCTTAGATCGATTAACTTCTTTAATTGCTCCTGAAATACTCCATTTAACAGACAAAATGTAAGCGAAAGCGGAAGCATGAATTAATTTTACACGTTGGCCGAGCAGAATTAATTTTTGCTTCGTTTCCTCAGAAACGATACAGTATTGTTTTCAGTTCAGGATGAACTGTTTACATAGCGGAGGCAATATCCAATCAGAGTAAAGTTCGTAATTGTTTTAAATGTAAATACGGCGGCAAAATTTGCGCCAAAATTCGGTGCATCGCAACAAAATGCGGCGTTTGCAAGGGCGTTTGCAGCATTAATTTCAATTGTTGCCTTGTACGAAAATGGAAAATTACGATTGAGACTCGTTTCTCGTCATTACATCACACAAGAAAACTATGCATTGGACCTCTAATAGAACGGTGACAGTGGAAAGGAAATATATTTTCGAGGTAGTGACACCGCCATACCACGAGATTTGCCCACCAATCCGATATTTTACGCCGATGGTAGTAGTCCAACGAAATGGTAATGTTTTCCGTTTCAGAGTGATTTACTGACATAGTGAGTATGAATGTAATTAGGGTAACATTTGTAATTCATAAGGTAAACATGCACACCAACTTGTTGAAAGTAATTTTAATTTCGTGACACGGAAACAAAAGGAACTTAAAATGTCATACAGGTAGAAATAATTGGCGACTTAAATGGTTCTAAATCAGACTGAAATGATGTATATCCGTTTCCGTGCTTGATTTAAATGTGATAAACATATTAACCGCTAAAGGTTTAGCAACTTTTCACGCCTTTGCTACACATTATGTCAACACCCTAGTTACCCCAAATGCCGACAGCAAATAGAAATACGGGAGACCCCTGTGGATTCCTGAGAGACTGTGCAGGATACGATTTCGCGGGAAACTTGTGTAGTGCGAGATTGTCTATCCACGTAGTATTTCAATGCGATATGCCGGGCAGAAAGGAGTCTTCCAGGCAGCGAAAACTGAAGCATCGGCAGCGGCGAACTGCCTTGTAAAACGCGGACACTGGGGTATGTATCGTTGCGTTATCATATATTTAACCATGATCATTTTAGACTTTACTCGAGACCAGCCGTTGAATAACTGGCATTGTAAAAAACGTCACGGGAAGCCCTGTGGTTGACGCATTCAGAATTGGCTTATTTTATAGAATTTAATTCGAAAACACGTTTTTGTCGATAACTGGAGTGCATTTCGATATT